ACAATAACTCCTGTAAAAACCACTGTGCAGCTACATTATAGTTTTTTATTTATTGACTGTGCAATATTCTGTGCAATATGCTGAATGTGCAATATATGTGAATAGAATAGCCATAACACTACCTCACCATTGCTCCTTACCTACTACACTTTAACGTAAAAGTAAATCCACCTGTATATAAGCCATCCGGATTGTACATATTTTTATTTTTTATCTTTTACTTCTTTATTTCTTATTTTTATTTTGTTTTTCATTGTGTGCGATACAGGTACACTTGCACCTTAATCCTTTTTTACCTGGATATACTGTATATATATATATTGTTTATTCTTAATGCGCTTTTTCCTCCTTGTTTGCACCTTCTGTAACTTCTATGCCAATATGTGACAAGTGAATTTCTCCGCTGTGAGATCAATAAAGCTCATTGATGACTGCATTTTCCATTCAATGTCCTTTCTAGTGACACCACTCTTTTGGGGAGTGTTGGCCTAATGGTTAGAGAAGTGCGCTTGTGCTCTGAGGAGGTTGTAAATACCCAGTTCAAATCCCCACAGCCTCCATTCTGGGTTCCTGAACAAAAAACCCTTAACCGCTGATTGGTCTCCAGGCGCCACACAATGGCAGCCCACTGCTCCCCAAGGGGATGGGTCAAAAATGCAGAGAACGATTTTCCCCATTGTGGGACAATAATAGGGATTTGCATTTTTCTGGGGGCGTGGCAGCCTAGTGGTTAGGACAGAGAGATTGGAACTCTGAGGTTCTGAGTTCTAGCCGCCTGAGCAATGAACCTCAATCCCCACACTGCTGCCAGAGCGCCACACAATGGCAGCCCACTGCTCCCCAAGGGGATGCTTTGTTGCTCTGTACTTGTGACAATGTGATGACAATAAAAGCTGGAAAAAAGAATACTTTCCAATAATATCTAAAATCTGAAAATATAAATAGGAAGTCTTCAGCAGCGCAGAACTATTTAGAGTTATAGTTCTTGAACTAAGGTTCTATTAACAGTTTATAACGAGTTAATAACATACCTATAGTTCTTTATGATCTTGAATTAATACATTTTACTATCATCTAACATGACATCTACTCCAAAAACTGCAACACCAAACTGACTTTTTCTTTATTTAAATAACTCCTATTCAAGAGTTCATATGTTTTTAATGAACTGCTCTTTCTACCGATATATATTTATTTCAAATGCA